TTGGTCAACGCGATATGAATAAGGTTGTCTACCGGTTTGCGAGATTGGGTTTAATTTTAGATGATCAAGTGTCATGGTTTGAAAAACCTCTTAATGTAATCTTTGATATTCTTTTTGAGGATAATTTTACTACTTAATTTAATAGAGACGCTCTTTTATCTTTCGATCGAGTTGAAATCCCTCAAAAGGTAGGTGTTCTATCTGATCTGATTAATGAATACGTACTTATTCTATATATAAAAAAAAAAGGTAAATCAATCTTTTAGAGTCTCATCTTTATTTTTCAGACTACTCAGTTATTCGTGGAAGCAAAATTGGATAAACTTAAAAAGGAAGAATCTTTATCTTTCCAAGGTCACATGCTATGCTTTTAAGCTAATTTTATCTCCACAACATCCCTACCTCAAGTCAAATGCCCTCATGAAAAAAGGAGTCCATGAAAAAAACCTTCTCTCTTGTTCCCACACATTTCTTGCCAGATCAAAATATTGATTCCCGAAAAGGACTCCAACCAACAATACTTTCTCACCCACATACCTCTCCCTCTCAGAGCAGATAAACCAAGACAATAAGGAGTCTCTTTACATCTCCATCCTCCTCCAACTTCAATGTCTTCATCCAGCAAAAAGAAGAAGCTTCTTACAACCATTCTCACAGCCAATGTTGCAGGCTGCGGTTGCGGAAGGCCGAAGCTTTCCGACGTGTACGAGCCGACTCCAAAACCCAAAATCCAAATCCACAAAAACCCTATTCACCGATCCCTCTCCTCTTCAAGTTCCGGCGATCAAAATGGCAAGAGCTTCACAGTTGAGGACGACGACGAAGATCGGTGCACCTCTACCACCGTTTCTTTTAACAACAACTCCTCCTCCTCGCAGTCACACCCATCTGATTCGGCGGAGAGTACGAATCCTAAGAACACAAAGATTTCGAGCCCGAATACGATGAAAGTCCACGACAGCATTGCGGTGGTGAAGGAATCAAACGACCCTTATAAGGATTTCAGGCAGTCGATGCTGCAGATGATTGTGGAGAAGCAGATTTACTCGAAGGACGATCTGCAGGAGCTGCTCAGCTGCTTTCTGGAGCTCAACTCTGCATCCCATCACGATGTTATCATCCGAGCATTCACACAAATCTGGAACGATCTCATCAGAGAAAGCGAGAAGCCGATGATCATGTGAATCCCAGATGGGTTCCACGTGCCGCGGCCATGTGAAGCATTGAATTGATGGGAAAGTGGGGGAGGAGGAAATTCAGAGGCGTGGGGTAGGTGGGAAAATTCATTACTCATAAATTCAACGGAGAGGTAAAAAAAGTGAGATATTTGGTAGTTATTGGGTTTTTGCTATTTGGGTATTTAGTTACAAATGGTGGATGGACAGTAGTTTTAAGTAGCAATATGCAGAGGTGTTGATATAATCTTATTTTATTTTATTGGCATTTTTTGTGAGTCTACAATTTCCAACATTGGCATTCAATACTAACTGTGTAGTTTTAATTAATGGTTTATTTTTTATTTTTTTAATAAATGGTATTATTTACATTAAAAGAAATGAAGTGAGTTTAACCTCACAATGGACTAGCAATAATGTGATTCAAATTTGCATTTGGCGATGATTGAAACTAAGATCTCATGAAGAAGTATACCACCCTTGCTTTCTATGTTTGGTTTTTTATTTTTGGGTAAATGACTATGTTTGGTTGGTGAGGCTATTTCAATTTAAAGTTAAAGCTATAGTCAATTTTGGAGTTAAATTTGACTCGAGCTGCTATATCATTCCCATTATTTTGGAATTTGACTACAATATTTACATGTATTTAATATGCTTACCATAAGTTAGATACAATTTATATAAGTATTTAGCAAATCCCTTAAATTTAAGTCAAATACACAAGTCATATATGAGTCTATGACTATTTGATAACCAAATTGATAGCCAATCCCTTAAACAAAATGATAATCCAATTCACGAAGAACATAAGATAACCTGATTGATTCTGCACATGCATGAGCAAAGGCCATGTATTCCGATTCATATAACGAAGAATAAGCTTAGCAGCAATAAGATGTAATGCACAAGGTTAGCCATAAATTGAGCAACATGATTAACCGCAGAGGCAACGTCAGGGCGTGTCAGTGAGATACTAATAAGAACCAAGCAATTGACGGAACTCTGTGGCATTGGTAAGTGGGAGTCACCTTGATTGGAACACTGGGCATGGCTTGCAGCCAACCATATTAGACCGCTTGAAAGGATCAACAACATATTTGATCTGAGATAAATGAAGGCCAAAGGGAGAATTGTGGCTACTACAACACCAGAAAATAGTGAAGCAACCTAAGATCTTTGATAACAAATTCTTTGGCCAACAACGCAATGAAGTGAGTAAGAGCATCCTGATTATCACTAGTAAAAAATATATCATCAACATAAATCAATAATACCAAGGTACAATAAACTGATGAAAAGTGAAAAAGGAAGGATCAACTTGACTCTAAACAAAAACTTGACGAATAAAAAATGAACTGAACCGCTGAAACTAGGGATGAAGAGTCTGCTTGAGACCATAAATAGCTTTATGAAGTTTGTAGAAAGAGTGGCTTTTGAGGATCAACAAAATAGTGTGGTTGCAGCATATAGACATTCTCAAAAAGAAAGCCATTTTCGACATCCAATTGATAAATGGACCAACCATGAGTGACAACCAAGCGAAGAAACATACAGATGGTAGTGGGTTTGACAATGAGGTTAAAAGTTTCATAATAATCGAACCCATGTTGTTGATGAAAACCTTTGGCCACTAAGGACAACTGTTCTATGGAACTATCAACAAGGCGTTGATCTTGAAGACCCATTTGCAACCAACAAAATTGTGGTGACGAGAAGGTGGCACTAGTGGCCATGTTTGATTATTGGCATTGAATTCATCCGTTATGGCATCACGCCACTTAGGAATATGAACAATGTGGGTAAAACAAGCAGACTGCATAAGAGCAGTGAAAACAATAGTAAGTTTATGAGGTAAAGGGTAGGGTACAGTTCCATCTGTGCGAATTTCGGGCGAGAAGGCCTTGTTTGAGATCTGGTCGCCATGGCATGATTTAGTATAACATGAGCTAAAGGAATGGGTTGCGAAGTGGGCACAAGTAAGGAGAAGGCCCACTGGCTGTGGACCCAAACACATGCAGGGGAGGCAGGGGCCTAGATTCTATCAACCAAGAAGGTTAGGCAGAGAGGACAAAAGCAGAGGGAGGCAGAAGCCTAGGTTATGTCAGCCCTGAAGGTTGGGCAGAGAGCATATGAGCAGTCCACAATGGGTGTTGTGAACACTGGAGCACAACCTAAGGCACATCTTTGGGCTTGAGGTGCCACATCGGTGACTGGTGTTCCTACTGTTATCATTGTGGAGAGGTGTTGTTTGCTTTGGGTAAAGGGGAAAGGTAAGTTTCCCCCACATTGGTCCATACCAGATAATTGAGCGAATTGGTGAGGTTGTGGACCGACTTAACTTACCTTCAGAGTTGTCGAAGGTGCACAATGTTTTCTAGGTTTCCATGCTTACAAAGATATGTCTCTGATCCTTCGAATGTTATCCACCCCCAACCTTTGGAGATCAACCAAGATTTGACTAGAAGGAAAAGGTTCTAAGGAACAAAACTAGCAAACTTGTGAAAGTTTTTTTACGAGGCAACTTGGGAGACAGAGCTTTTATTCAAATTTTGTTTCTTTAATTGTACCTCTGTGTAATGTAGAAATTTGGGGACAAATTTTTTTTAAGAGGAGTAGATTGTTATAACCCGTCCGTAATTTTGTAATGATTGTACAATGGGTGTTCTAAAGGCAAATGAGTGAGGGCAATGAGGTTTTTCTGGTTCAGGAGAAATTTTTCATTGTGACAGGAATACAAGTGGTATACCATGTGTTTTAATAGAAGTGATGGGAAATTTTATTTTTTAAGTTATTAACATTTTAGCACACATATCCCACAATTTGTATAATGACACATAGTGTATCAGCTTGTGTACCGGTCACACTGAAAAATCTCTCCTGGTTCAGGACCAAAGTTAAGCTGGCTTGTCGCTTGTGTATGGGTGACAAGGCGTAGGCTTTTAGTTAAGGTTCGTCGCTTTTTATTAATGCTGAGATTAAGAGGTGAAGGAATAGATTGGGTTGAACTTGCGATTAATGAGATTTGAATCTAATACCTCTCACTTACTAGTGAATATTGTAGTACTAACCGACATCCTTTTTTTCTCTCTCTTTATCAGATGTAATCTGGTGAAACGTTGGGGCACAATTTACATGTGTCGTCAGTCATTATTCCTTATCATAGTTTTTTTTCTTAAATTATAAAGATAATGGCACAACAATGTTCATCTTTTACACACCCTACTTTAATTATAATCAATAGGTTATACATTATACGGACATGATTAAATATAGGTGTGCAGAGAGAAAAAAAAAAGAAAACTGTGTGATTATCATTCCGCTCTTTAATTCAAATTGGGCTCAAGATTTTCGTAGACCCAATGAAGAGGTTTGGCATGTGAATCAATGAAGAGATGAAACAATGATACTAAACAAGTAAAGGGACCGGGGTAAGCATCCAAGCAAAATCTCCCATTGCCTGCTCGCTAAGGTTCAATTGTGTTATGGCATGTGAACTAATAATAATGTATTTTAGAGACATAAATAAGATTTGTATGCGAGAGCAAGTGCCTTAATCTTGTATGTTGAAATAACATTCACTCTTTGAAAACTGGTGCAGCATAAAACATAAACCAACCAAAATCTTGACCGTGTGGTTTGATGGGTTTATAGTTTGGCCCAGTCAATCCTTCTATTTAGTCTGAATTGTAGCCTAAAACTGTCCCATGTCAGTCCGATACCAATATGGATCTAGCCATGGCTAAACTAAAAACCAATTGTTTTTTATCCACTTTTACTTAGGGCTGGAATTTTTTTCTGAAAATTCCAATCCAATACCCAAATCAATCATACAGAAATTTTTGGAACTCCATACCGAAGAAACAAAAATAAAAAATCAAAGCACTTCTAATCCATACAAGACCCCCGCGTGCTTCTCGGGGCCATCATTCACAAAATACACATCCCTAATTTTCTGAAACGCATGCCACGTCAGCAAGCTATCTGAACCGGCCTGGTGGCACTTTCCGGCTGCTCGGTCCAACTTTAAAATCTTCGCCACCTGGTCCAGCCCTCCGTACAAGCTGTTACAGAACCGAATCATGTACTTGACGTCATAAATTCTATTTCCGAAAAACACCCTCACAATCTTCAAAAACTCTTCCATGCCACTCGGCAATTCCTTCCGGCCCGTGAGGATCTTCACCAAGTACCCAAAGTCGTACGCGCCGTGGAACGCCACCCAACTCACTGAGTCGTTGCAGACGAGTCCCGACGACATCATCAACTCTGCGAACCGGGCCGACGCGATGCCGTCGGAGCGGTTGCGGTCGAAGTCGATTCCCTGGCGGCGGAGGAGCTGGATGGAGTCTGAAGCGTGGCGGTCCCGGGCGATGTCGAAGTCGTTGAAGTTGAATTCCCAGATGTAGGGCGTCGGGGAGCCGAGGTCGGGGAGGTTGCCACTGGAGTCGGAGAGGGTGAGGCCCACCTGGATGAGGTTGAGATCGTCGACGTTGGATTTGAGGTTTTTGTAGTGATCGGTCGGGTGTGTATCGTGTTTGTACGGCTGTCGATATATTAGTCCGGGGAATTCTGTGTCCATCGAAATAAAGGGGCAGTCGTCGATCACTTGGCGAATTAGTTCGAACTCAGATTCTAGATTGTGGGCCCACACTTGTCGGATTGCGATCGGCTTCGACTTGGAACTCGAACTCGGACTCGAAGTTGAACTTACTTTGCGGTGGCACATGTTTGATTTAATTAACAAATTAAACAGCGAAGGCTTGTGGATATTGGACGAGTGAAGAGTGGATGTTGGTATATATATAGTGAGACATTAGGATCCCCATTCGAAATTGGAGAATCAAAGTCCATATGCGCGTAGGAATTTGGTAGTTGTTCTTTCCCTTTTATTTTACTTTAAAGGAAGGGTAAATTACATTTTCATATATCAGGTTTAAGGTCTATTTCAATTCCTTACAACATCTGCAAAATATTTTACTTTCATACTTAAGTACTTTTTTATTTCAAAATAATACTTCCGTTACATTTTTCATTCATTGATATGTTAAATGCTGACGTGACTGCCAAATGTCTGCCACGTGGCAAATAATTTTTTTTTTTAAACCTGAATTTTCTCTAAAAAAGAAAATAAATTGAAAATAAAAAAGAAACCCACTATCCCTCCCCCCCCCTGGCGACCCACATCCCTATCCCTAACCCATAACCCAAAAAACCTGCAGCATTAGCAGCAAGAAGAAGAAGAGGGAGGAAGAACAAGAAGAAAAAAAAAAACCCTGCAGCAGCAGCAAGAAGAAGAAGAAGAGGGAAGAAGAAGAAAGAAAAAAAAAAAAAAAAAAAACCTGCTGCTGCTCGCGACCCAAACCCAGTTCTCCCTCCCCCCTAGCACTACACGACCTCCCTCAAGTGTGGGACGAACTGGGGTTTTTTTTATTTTATTTTTTTCTCCCTCTTCTTCTTATTCTTCTTCTTCTTGCAAGTTTTTGGATTCTAGGTTAGGGTTGCTGGGGGGGGGAATGGGGAAGGCACTACTTTCAAAAAAAAAATTTGAGAAAATTCAAGTTTAAAAAAAAATAAAAAAAATATTTTATTTGTCACGTGTCAGACATTTGGCAGCCATGTGATATATATGTGGCAGCCACGTCAGCATTTAACAGATCAATGGATGGAAAATGTAATGGAGGTATTATTTTGAAATAAAACAGTACTTAAGGTACGAAAATGAAATGTTTTGAGGATGTTGTAAGGAATTGAAATAGACCCTAAACCTGAGGTATGAAAGTGTAATTTACCCTTAAAGGAAATATAATTTAAGAAAAATTAGTATCCGATCCCTAGTTTCATTGATTAAAACCTTATCAGTTTTTAGATTTTAATCAAAGTCTTTAGCATTAATATATTAATGAATTACATGTAAGTTATATAATTTCTATAATAAAAAGAGAATTGTTATTGACATTCCAAAAATCTCATTTTACACTCCAAACACTACTACAATATTAGCTTTAGGTGTCGGACGATCTTGGCGGTTAATAAGTCATTCTGACGGATAAAAGATTTCCGACACATAATTTATTTACTGTCGGATTAAAGTTACTTTCTGTCGGATATATTTGACATAAAGTCCTGACGGATTTTTCCTGGCGGATTTAACCGCCATAAAATTATTATAACCCTCAGTATTTTTGAATTCTCTTTTTTTAATATTTTTAAATTATTCTGACGGTTTCTAAGTTAATTGTGGCGGTTATAACCGACATAACTTGACTATTTTATTATTTTAGATTCTGGCGGTTATTATTTTAGTATTCTGCAGGTTATAACTGACAGAAATTGACTATTTTATTATTTTAAAATGCTACATTGATTAAAAATAAATAAACAAATGGTGTGAATATTTTTTTTTTCACTCACGGTCCCATTACCTAATCTTTGAATGTTTTTTTTTTTTGCGATTTTTTACACATGCTATCTCGGAGTATATACAAACATATTTGACGGTTGAATCGTTGAAACTAGTTTCGTAGAATGCATATCCTATCAAATTGATAGATTTAACAAACACTTAAGAGTTAATGTTATAGTTCCATTAAGTATAAAAAATTATCCACTAGTGCAAATATTTTAAATTGAAGATCGAGAAGTGTAGCTATAAAAAATCATCAAAATCGAAGCCAAAATAATCGTTAAATTGTGATTTTTTGTTTATAATCATCGAAAATTTTTGTTTCGTTACCTAATCTCTGAATGTTTGTTTTTTACAACTTTTTACGTATGCAATCTCGGAGTGTGTAAAAATAAGTTTGACGGTTGGATCGTTGAAAAAAGTTTCATAGAATGCATATTGCATCAAAACTGTAGATTAAACAAACACTAGTTAATATTATACTTCTATTAAGTATAAAATAAGATTTTGTGGTATCTACTAGTGTAGATATTTTAAATTGAAGATCAAATTTATTCATTACATTCTTATAGGGTTCTGGAGTGTAGCTGTAAAAAAATCATCAAAATCCGAGCTAAAATAACCGTTAAATTGTGAATTTTCTTTTATAACCGTCGAAAAATTTTGTTCCGTTACGTAATCTTTGAATGTTTGTTTTTTACGATTTTTGACGTATGCAATCTTGGAGTGTGTACAAATAAGTTTGATGGTTGGATCGTTGAAAAAAGTTTTGTAGAATGCATATTGCGTCAAAACGGTAGATTAAACAAACACTTGGTTAATATTATACTTCTATTAAGCATAAAGTAAGATTTTGTGGTATCCAGTAGTGTAAATATTTTAAATTAAAGATCAAATTTATTCATTACATTCTTATAGGGTCGAGGAGTGTATCTGTAAAAAATCATCAAAATCGGAGCTAAAATAACCGTTAAATTGTGATTTTTTGTTTGTAACCGTCGAAAACTTTTGTTCCGTTATGTAATCTCTGAATGTTTGTTTTTTACGATTTTTTACGTATGCAATCTCGGAGTGTGTACAAATAATTTTGACGGTTGGATCATTGAAAAAAGCTTCTTAGAATGCGTATCACATCAAAACAGTAGATTAAACAAACACTTAGAGTTAATGTTATACTTCCATTAAGAATAAAATAAGATTTTGTGGTATCCACTAGTATAAATATTTTAAATTAAAGATCAAATTTATTCATTACATTCTTATAGGGTCGAGGAGTGTAGCTGTAAAAAATCATCAAAATCGGAGCTAAAATAACCGTTAAATTATGATTTTTTGTTTGTAACCGTCGAAAACTTTTGTTCCGTTACGTAATCTCTGAATGTTTGTTTTTTACGATTTTTTACGTATGCAATCTCGGAGTGTGTACAAATAATTTTGACGGTTGGATCGTTGAAAAAAGCTTCTTAGAATGCGTATCACATCAAAACAGTAGATTAAACAACCGTTAAATTGTGAATTTTCGTTTATAACCGTCGAAAACTTTTGTTCCGTTACGTAATCTTTGAATGTTTGTTTTTTACGATTTTTTACATATGCGATCTTGTAGTATCTACAAACAAGTTTGACGGTTAGATCATGGAAACTAATTTCGTAGAATGCATAAATTTGCCAAAATTTTGTGCTAAATTTGTGCTAAATTGAAGTGGGAAAAGTAATATGTGCTAAATTTTTATTTGTGTTTTTCAAGTATTGATTAGACAATATTTAGTTCGTGTGAAAACATTTTCATTGTACAATTCTCTTTTTGTTTATTTATCGCATATTTTACATGGATTATTATCTATTAAACCAAAAATGTAAAAATTATCTATTAAACCAAAGAATTATTTATTTAATTTTTAAAAACATATTCTATTTAAATACATATTATTTATTTATTTATTTAACCAAACAATTATTATTTTATTTTTTAAAATTGTAACAAAATTTGGCGGAAAGTTTAAAATTTTAAAATTTGGGGGAAAGTTTAAAATTTTTGCCGCCATTTTGTTTATGTCGGTTATAACCGACATTAATGAAAGTTTCTATCGGTTTTTATTAAAAAAAATTTTGTCGGTTTTTATTAAAAACATTTATGTCGGTTTTAACCGACAGTAATGAAGCATTTCCACATTATAACCCCCCATCCATCTCTCCCTACCGTCGGTGCTTCTCCCTTCCCTATTTTCTCCTCTCCTCATTTCCTTCTCCTTCTCTTCTCTCCTCTCCTCATTTACTTCCAGTTCGAACCCTAGCTTTAGCTCTCTCTCTCTCTCTCTCTCTCTGTGTCTCTCATATTGCTCAGGTTCACAGGCACAATAGTTGAGGTTGGGGATTTATGTCCTCAGTGGACTGAATCTAAATGGTGATCGTTGAAGGTTAAGATGCTAACAAGTTACAGATCAAATGCTGTTTTATTTCTTCCTGTTCATCTACTTATCTTTAGTTGTATTTCTTGCAGGTTCAATGGGATGAGCATGCTGCAGTTCAAAGGCCTCGACATATTATTTTTGAGTTCGAGCTCGAGCATGCTGCAATTCTCCTTGGGATATAGAACCTTTTGTAGCTTCAGCTCCATCCAATCTTGCTCAACCAGTGGTAGAGAGCAAAAGGCCACGACATATTATTTTCGAGTTCGAGCTCGAGCTCCATCAAATCTGCTACTCTCTCTCAGCTTTTGTGTGTGTTTTCTTGGGTTTTTGGCTGTTTGTTCAAGTTGTTGAGGGATCCGATGTTTTCGATGGTGAACGCAGATTTTTTTTTATTAATATACTTTCTGTCGGTTTTATCCGACAAGAATGATTTTATATATTTTATAATAAATTCTCTGTCGGATATAACCGACAGAATTCCTGGCGGTTTTAGTATTTTCTGTCGGTTTTATGCGACAGAAATTATAATAAATAAATATATATCCTGTCGGTTATAACCGACGGAATTTCTGTCGAATAAAACCGACAGTAGTTCTGTCGGTTTTATAGTATTTTCTGTCGGAAAATTTATTTCCTGACGCGAGCAATGCTGTCGCTTATGATATCCGCCACTGCAACCATTTTCTGTCGGATTTTGCTTAAAATCCCTCAGTAATAACGTTTTCTTGTCGTTTTTATTTGTGCCAGTAATGGGTAGTTTTGTAGTAGTGAAACTTTTGATATTTGAAAAGAAAAATACTCTTGTGAAGAGTATAAAATGAGATTTTTAGAGTGCCAATAACACTTCCCAATAAAAATTGGTAATTGATTTAGAGTTTTAATACTCACATCCTTATTAAACTCCTAATTAATTTTCAATTCAAACATTTCCAAAGTATAAAAAATAAAATTATCATAAGTTTTGTACCCATTAATTTAAAATTTCAATTTTTTAATCTTATATGTA